AGCATGGTCTTCTTCCTATAAATATTGCGTTTTGGCGTCGATGTCGATGATTGGCCTAGATCGCAAATGGTTTTTCGGCGTTTGGGGTTATCGAAATACATCCACTTTTTCATCGCCAGTCACAATTCGATGCAAAAACGCCTTTCTTTGTTGCCGAGCAAACAAAATTTCGCAGGTGGTTTTTCACCTTTCAATGTCTCTTGACTTCAGTTCATATGGGATCCATTTTCCTTCCTTGTAGAGGAAGACTCTCCTAAGGCTTTTAAATGATCGGAAATAACAGATTGAGCACAATTTAATGCTTCTGCAAGTTGTTTTTGTGTTTGACATACGTCTTTATCGAACAATGCCTGCAATTTTTTGTCTTTAAATGCTCTTGGCCGTCCAGAACGCTCTCTGTCCTCCACATCAAAATTATCACTTCGAAAGCGTTGAAACCATTCTCTGTATGTTTTATCGGAAGGTGCACTATCACCATAAACTTCTACAAGCATTCGATGAGCTTCAGCTGTAGTTTTCTTCCATTTGAAGCAAAAGATTAACATTTCGCGCAAATGATGTTTATTTGTTTCGACAAATTTCGACATTTTCGATGCAGTAAGAAACAATGTCATTGATGCAAACGTATACTTTTATATACTGAATTTTATTGACAGATGCTAAAACTAATAAATTAAGCTTGATTTAGATATTAGAGTTATCGACAGTTCCAGTTATAGATACTCGCCGCTGGATGAACGGAACTTTCCGATTGACCTAATATTTGAAAATATTTCACTTAAAAAAAAGTGATAATTTTCACTGTTTTTAAAGTAAATCTTCACTGCAAAGGACTAAAAGCTCACTTTTTTCGAGTGAGATTTCATTCCTTTACAGTGAAGATTCACTTTAAAAGCAGTAAAAATTGTCATTTTTTTTTAAGAAGTGAAATATTTTCAAAGGTGGTGGTATTTTCACTGTCTTAGAGTGAAATTTTACTGCAAGAAATTTAGAGTGTAAGAGATCCGGGTTCGATTCCCGGTCGAGGTAATATTTTTTGCAATAAGAATTAATTATTTACAGATTTTAATTTATCACTCAACATTATTAAGACCAATTAAAAATGTGTAAAGAGCATCAAAAATTGTTAAATTGCTATAGACAATTTAACTCATGATATTATTGCAGTAGTTTCGTAGAATTGCGTTTCAAGACCGAAAAATTGTTCGGCGCGCGGTTTAAAAGACTACATACGTAGTATATGAATTCAGACGGAATTATAATAGCTGCATCTAAAATCTAGCTCGATCGTTGAAGGCAATTTCTTATTAGTTGTATTTCTCACATGTACGGGATCCTATAAGATTTAATTTAACATAACGTGATGATGTTATATATTTAAATATTTCGTATTAAATTAATATTCAACATTTCTTAATGCCAAAAAAACAAGTAAATAAACAAATAATATAAAATGTGTTTTAAAACATTTAAAATTTTAAGATAAATGAATAAAATGCATGTTAATAAACATGTCAAAATGTTAATTTTACTATAAAAATATGTCTTCACAATTTGTTCACAAATTCTATCAGTGTGACACTTTTTGCAGGTATTATTTTTTTTACATAATGTTTATTATTACTTTTTAATATACTCATCTTGAGTTAAATTAACATAAAAATTTGAATGAATTGTTGTTTGGGACACGTATACAATGTGCTAAATTCAACAAAAATTTTCTAATCTAATTGTACATAATAATCATTATCCTTTGTCTGCTTCCCATTATTAAGACAAACGAGGACATCGTACAAAATTGGATAAACATGCAATTGCGAGATATTTTTAGCAGTTTTTCCACAGTTAGAAAAAGAAGAAATCATGTCGGAACGGTCGTTTATTCGTTTACATGTTCGTGAATTACGGATAAAAACGAACGTGTGTATAAAGTATAAATGATTGAAGAGTTTCCGTTTGAGTCGCAAAACTAAAAGTTGCTGTTCCTCTAGCACGATGTTTTATTTTAATGTTTCAAGTGTTAAGCTATTACGGAAATGGTACCGAGGCATGGCGCCATTCCTGGCATGACCAACCGGCTGCTGATTCTCTCAGAGAAGCTCTCTCAGCCGCTCTTAACGCGAGTTTCCTGCCGTGAGAAAAACTTGTTCACTTTCGTTCGGTATATTAACCGTGACTTGCACACTGACGAATCATGCACCGCTTGAACAGACGATTTTAGAAGCGAACCGAAATATTCGTCACAATCCAAAACTCGTAATTCCCTAACTGGTTCTCGCGTAGACCGCTTTCACGTAATTTCATAGTCTCGATCGTTATGTTCCTGCGGCTTTATTATTATAACATACCGTAAAACGTAGCGTACCAGCAACGTTACGGCTATGCAATAAAGAAAGGTTGTCGAACGGCATGATACTCGAACGAGATAATCAATATAATCAATGATTGCTCAGACACGCTAATCGCATCCCACTCAAATGACATGATAATGCTTCATCTTAAACTGTTAAGATAGCTCCGTTCTAACGCGACACGTATTTGTACTAACGGGATTACGTAACGTGAGGTTTATCTAACCGAAAGGAAGAAACGTGTACGAAAAATAAAATACAATCTCGCTTATTGTGGTCACGCTTATTTCTAGGCCTTGACCTTGGTGAAAACGTGCGAGCCGGTCGCCGAGATGCGAGAGTGCAGAGCGTCGCGGGACTGGTCCCTGTTGGCGTTACAGAACGTGCGTACAGGAAAGTCCCACTATCTCGTAATATGCCGATGTCCCGACACAAACATACTCGGTGAGTGAAAGACTCCAAAAGCTTTCGATTTATATCAGTTTCTACACACACACAATTTAATTTTAGTCTTGATTCAACTAATTCTTTATACCTTTTTCTAGTTTTAAGAATTAAAAAAAGATGAAGAGTAAGTTGAACTGACATCAAAATTAATCTACACGGGAGAAACAGGCATTCAATCATATTTCGAAGATTGACACATAAAATTCAGAATTGCATTTAATTTGACACGAAGAAGGCTCTTAAATTCTTAAGTCTGTGTTTTCTTAACTCTTTTCTGTTACTTTGCCGTTACTTTTTATAATAAACAACTTGATAATGACGTTGCAATTTTTATAACGGTAATGCTAAAACTAACTAAACGCTTAGGTTGTGTTAAGATTGGAAATCACTTGGAAAATAACTCTCGTCACCATCATGTATTATTGAAAAAAGTAATGAGTAATATTACTCATTATAAATAACGAGTAAAAGAGTAACGTGTTACAAATTAGGAATTTTTTTTTCAGTTACAAATGATTTTTTCAACACGTTACAAGCAGCGTCATTAGCAAATCGTCATTATAGCAAGGTAACGATCGACGAAGTAACGGCGTTACAAGTCATGCGTTACTTCCCAACATCTGTGATTACATAAAGATTAAAGGTTACCAAGAAATTTATATAAAATTTATTCGTGAATTTCTTGGTAACGGTCTTCTTTAATCTTTAGGTAACCGTATATTGTAAAAACGAGCTCCATATCAAACTATATAGAAATTGAGATTAAGATTGAACTTGACCTATCAAAGCAAAGTTTACTCTAAACTTGAAATTGGTTTTCTTTCCTCTTTCGTCAAATTTAATCTCAATCTGTAGTCTGATACAGAGTCATCGAACGTTCTTGATGTTCCAACAAAAACCACGGTTTACATTACTATTGCTTCTTATGTCTTTTTTTTATAGAGGGACCTATGAGCCACGATCAACCCACTTATGCTAGCGTCCCTGGTATTCGGGTGTATGGAATGATGTGCGTACAGGGAAACAGAAGGGGACGACCGTTACGATATTCGCGTAGTATTTTTGGTAAGCATTCTAAATCTTAATATCGTTTCTTTTTTTTCTAAAGTTTGTTCCGGATTTCTCAGATATGAATTACAACTGATATTGATGTGTTAAACAGGACACATAGAGGACGAAGAGAAGCCACGCTTCCCTTGGAACAAAGTGCGACAGCTAATGGCAACGCCGTCTCTCTGGGAATAATTTCGCGATACGATATCCCATCCTGTATCTGCCATCGACGAATTTACGCATTAATTTATAATGCTATTATATTTATAATTCTCCCAGCCATTCTCGAATCCCATGCTCGAACTCTCTTCATCTTCCTACCATTTTCCTCTTATTATCCTCACGCTTCCGTAACCCTCGAACGGGCGCATCATGTGGTGTGAACTAATATAAATTAATATCAATTAATGATTAATCTTATACTAATTTAGTATTAATTTCATACTACATAATTTTTTGTTTAAAGAATTATTTTTGCTACATCTGCATCGATTAATTGTTGATTATAAAGTCAAACCAGAGGAAAATAAATTTTTACCAACTTTTTTTAAATGCAAACATCAGCGTGTCCGCACGAGGGTTAATAGATACGATAAGATGAAATCGTCTATGTCACTTGTATTCTTATCTTTACTTAATTACTTGTTCTAAGCATATTTATTATTCATGATTTCTATTATTATTTGTAATATGAGCCGTCGATTAATTACACACGATATATATATGCAAATTACAATGAGGAAGACAAACGGCTTTGCTGCTTACTCAATTGTAAAGAGCTGTCTGTTACGCATAATCTTGAAAAAAGAGAATAGGAATATATTTGGTACCTGAATTGAACTGACAGGTAAAATCTTAGAAAATTTATATTTTTTCCTTTCATTACCAAAATATTAAGTAAAATATGTTAGTGTTACATATATATTATATATTTCAAAAGTACTTGTTCTTTTTTCCAAGAGTCACAATATTAATAAGACGCGATTAAAAAAACGAGAATCGATGTAGATAACTTCAAGTCACGTATTTGCAACTACAAAAACTCGGAAATGTAGTACGTGCTCGATCGTGTTTAATGATATTCTAGATTATATGAATACGCGTCAGAGAGCGACTAATCAGTAACATTATACATTAACAATTACTCACCGAGAACGTCGGAGTTGACTAAAACGCTACAGCTATACATCGCCGTCATTAATCGAGGGTGTCGCAGGCTGAAAATCCGTCGACAAGCCTCTTTACACGCCGACATTAATTGACCGCCCAAGTGCCCTTGGCTCTGGCCACCGGAATCGCTGCAACGTTTCGTATATCTTATATCTTCCTTTTATTATACTCGTTCATATTTAGTGTTTACTAAATTTTTCAATAACACGGCTAAATACGACCTCCTCTATATATATATATATACAATATATATATATATATATATACATACATACATACATACATATGTACTTAACTTCCAGAAAGCAAGCAGTTGCAATGCACATATTTACTTTGTTATAAGAATATTTCTTGGTCGCAAATGTTGATTCAAAACATTTACCTTTATGTAATAATTATTAGATATAATGCGAATATTTATTAATTATTGTACCTTTGTGGAGTCTCAAAAATTTCCCACTTCTTCACCACGAAGCAAACGCCCATCATAGGCTCCTCGCATAAAGGACCAGCCAGAGTAGCAAGTTGAAATCCATTAACTATACTGTTATCGTATCTGAAAAATTTATAACAAATATATATAATATAATTCGAAATAAGTTTCATGGAGATAGTCAAGTATGTATCTCGTTCATATTTATTTTTTGCATTATATGTTATAACATCTATCATTGCGATAAGTTTAATAAATTATGTTTATTGAACGTTGCTTTCAAACGAGATATATGCAATAAAAAGTTTTCGTATCAATATTATTTGGAATACTCACGCTGCTCGGGAATCGACATTCGTGTTTTGCTGCTCCCAAAATTTCTTCTGTTTGTAATCAGTTTCGTTTAACAAGATATTGGGCCCACATTTTCGTGGACCAAACGACCATATTTTATCCAGTACATTATCCTTCCATCCCGTTTCGAGAAAAGCTGCTTCCAATTCGTTCTTGAATACCTTTGCTTCCTTCTGCTTCTTATCAGACATGGATCTCTCGTTTAGTTGATTCTCGCCGGCATCCTTGTGTTCCCCATTCTCCTCTGTATATCTGTCGCAGTAACTGTCCAATAATTTTATCAGATTTGCATTTTTCTCTAGTAATTTTGTTATGTTTTCCGGAAGAGGTCTCGTGTCTATTTCAAGACGACACTGCCGGTTTGACGTCCACACTTCAAGGTTGACTTCCGCCACCTTCTTCTCGATCGCCTCGTTCACCATGTCGAGTTTCGGAGGTGGCACTATGGTTTCGCGAAATGGCACGATTGGATCGGACACGTTAATATCGATCTTGGCGTATCTCAACTTGAGATCCTCCAGGCATCTCTCCAGATGAACTTCACCTGCGGTGCTCAGGACGATCTCACCAGTCTCTTGTATGTGAACGATGGCGCAGGCATCCGCTTGGTTCAACAATTTCAGACCGTTGATGAGCTTTGGCAAGTCGTTGGGATGTTTCGGCTCCAGGGCTACTCTCAATATAGGAACTGCGAGAGAAGTTAGCTCTGTGAAAGAAGGGCAGGCGATTGTCGTCGAAAGAGTCGCGGTCTTCAAAACGTGCTCCTCTAGGCCACCAATTCCGAAAACATTACCCGCCGGCACGTTATTTACGGCCTCGAGCTCTCTTCCCATAAGAATGTACAATTTATTTACAGTCACCTTCGTAATATGTCTGCCAGGCCTTAAATCCTTCAGCACGTGGGACGGATCCACCTTCTCGCCCGTTTTCTCGCGTTCCAAAGCAATAGTGGGATTATGTTTCGGTCCTAAAACGAATACCTCATCTCCAGTCTTTATAGTTCCCGAATATACTCTGGCGAAGGCTACTAATGCACCGTCCGTTAATTTATCCTCGACGACATTCTCGTGATTTATGTTATTGGGGACTATCGTATCTTCCTCGTTATCTTGATGATTTTCAATGGTAATACATATCTTTCGCTCCAGTCGCTCTGCATGCTTCTGTCGAACAATTTCTCTTCTCTGTGCCAATTCTTCCGATGTTAGTGACTTCGGTCTGTTTTCGGGCAGCATATCCTTCTCCACTGGAAACATTTTCGATACGAATACGATAGTCGGTGCCTCGAACGATGGATTGCACGATAAGAATGCTCTCTTCAGTTGCTGCGTTTCAAGAGGCAGAGCGGAGAAGTCGTTGTTTCCACTTATCAATCGTTCGATTTTCTCGTCAGTTAAATTATGCGGTGCTGGAACCTTCTCGCATACCATATCGAGACAATTTTGCGCCAGAGGAAGCCACTGCGAGCAAACGGCTTGCAGCTGTGCCTTCGGATCTGTATGCCTCAAGTCGCGCGTTGTCAACTTAATATTTAACTTTTCGGCTATAGTTGGCAATTTATCTTTATCTTTTCGTATCACTATCGTCTCGTACAGCACCCAGACGTTATCCAAGATCAGCTGAACGAAAAGTGGCTTCTTAGCCTTCTCCTGGGCCCCCTTCATGATCCTCTTCGTTTTGTTATTTATATAAAAATCCCCCCACAGCGTTTTGCGCAAGACCTTTTCGCTAAATCCTAATTTGTTCGAATAAATTCTAGCGAATTCCTTGATACCGAATCCCCAGCCATCGATTGCACTGGTAAAAAGAACGTTGCCTTGGTCCGGAGAGAAGTATAAATTTGAGTCATCTATCTCCTCCAATACGGATTGCCAATCGGCCAGATCCCTTTCGTTCACCTTGTCCCACGTAGACGCGACCATCTCCTCGCGTTCTTCACGTTCCATCACGTCGCTCGCGAACAACTCCCCCATGATGGCATTCACTTGTTCCAAGACTTGTGTCAAACGTACGTAAGCATCTAATGGCGTCAACTGCATCTCCGTGATCAATCGGTCAACCTTATTAAGTACTAAAATAGGTTTCAAACCCTCGACGTAGGCTATAGACAAGGCGCTACGCGTCTGGGGACACACACCTTCCACCACGTCAACTAGAATGACAGCTCCATCCGACAGTCTGACTGCTGTTGAAACTTCAGAGGAGAAGTCCACGTGTCCTGGTGAATCGATCAAATTTATCACATGGTCCGTCCCGTTGTGTACATGATACAGCGTTATGGAGCTAGATTTCATCGTGATCCCACGCATCTGTTCGTCCGGTCTACTATCCAGGTACCTAAGTTTCCCAGCCAGCTTGTTGGATATGATGCCGTTGCTCGCAACGAGAGAATCAGCCAGAGTAGTCTTTCCATGATCCACGTGTGCCAGGATACATATGTTCCTGATACGTGCGGCGTCATTCTGTGTCTCGCTGAGCTTCTCAATGCTGATAAAGCGCATCGTTACTGAGATAATAGGACAACGCGAAGGCTGGAGAGTATAGCTCGACGAAGTATGTACAAATATACATAAATATATGCCTACGTGTCGGTTTACAATATCCAGCGATCGCGACAACAGGATTAAAACGAGTGACGCAGCAGCGCGTGCAATATATACATACAATTCGACCTAGGCTACTCTATATATATATTTATAAAAACAAAACTTAAACTAGCGCGATTCGCATTCGCGCGCGCACGTGTCCAGCCTGTGGTAAACACTATTTCAGTTTATTTTCCCTCCGATAAAGCGCGTAGGGTTTGTTGAACGCGAGGATGTAACGCAGGTTGAACGGCCTCGCTGTCGTCGTGCGGAACATGCCAGCGGACATCGGTTAACGGCGCGGCGGAACGAGACACACGCAGACACGGGGACGAACGGCAGGTTACGTGGACGCGATCTCTCCTCCTCGTCGATGACGCGTGACGAGCTGCTCGACCAGCCGAGGTGGTAGCCGAGACGGGACGTGACACTGACACTTTTGCCGCCTACTTCAAGAGGTTAGGCGCGCCGAAGAGACGTACGAACTTGACGCGCGCCGCTTTCTCCCTCGTTTCGCCTCGTGCCCACTCGACCGACTTTCCACCAAGTATCCGCCTACGACACGGTTGAATTCGATCTGGATCCTTTGACTTTCCACGCGACTTTCCGTTTCGTATTGTGCTGTGATCCACGAGTATTTAATCACAAAACGTGCGGGTGCAGACGGCCATATTGCTTTGATGCGTGGAGAGCATGCGCGAGCAGCGCGATTCGATTTGCGCATGTGAGACAAAAATGGATAGATGGTAGAGAGAGAGAGAGAGGGTGCTTTTTCCATTTGATGACACAAGTGTCGTTCTATCTTTGTCAATCTCTAAATGTCAAGAAAGATAGAATGACACTTGTGTCGACTTGTGTCATCAAATGGAAAGGACCCAGAGAGAGAGAGAGATAGGTGGATGAATCGTTCGAACAGAATTTCTTTTTCTTTTAGTCAAGGTCAAGGATGAATAAACCTTCATTAGTTTAATTGTAATCGATGATGAGATAATTAAGTTTTAACGTATCAATTAATTCCTTAATCAAATTTAATTCAATATCTATTTCGTTAACAGATAAAATTAATTTTTTCGTTGTTTAATTGTAGAATTAGAAATTTTGCTGTTGAATCACCTAATTAATCGGAATTTGGTTGAATTAGTTATAATCTCGATGTAACTTATTTTTATCTTTTTCTAATTTTAAAAATTAAAGATTCCTATTATAGCACAATTTAAGCCTATTAATTGCTATCGATGTAGATATTAACTTTAATCTCGGTTTAACTTATTTATACTCATCTTTTTGTAATGCCTGTTTCTACCAAAATGTAGTTTAATATTATATAATTGCAATTAAATTGACTCATCTTCATATCTTTTATTTATAATTCTTAGGATAAAGGATAAGTTAAATCGAGATTAAAATTATTCGCCATTTTTTTCTAATGCCTGCTTCTATTCAAAATGTAGTTTAATTTTAATTATAGTTCAGTTGACTTTTTATACCTTTCCCTAATTTTTAGGATGAAGAATAAATTAAACTGAGATTAAAATTAAAAACTCTACATTATAGATTTACAAAGACTTGATAAAAAAAACCAGTGTTATTACTTGAAATAAATTAGAAGCAAAAATGAATCGCCTTTCTAGCGCAATCATTCAAACAGAGCGATATATCGCGGTCTATTTTTCGGCGAATTTCAAATATATCCATTTTACTTACCCGTGTTTCTCTATGCTTGTTGTCTACTCTACAACGTAAGTTCCGAGTCAGATGAGAGCGAAAGAAAAAGAAAGTAAACAATTGGTCAAACAGGATGCAAAAAGTGCGACAAAAATTAACGCTGCAAGTGGAGCCAAAAGTCATAGGACGTGCCATTATTGCACACAGGCAATTATATGATGAGTACAAAAAAAACTTCAAAAAGGACAATGTGAGTTCCAAGTGCAAAGTTTACAGTCGACAGTTCGTTTTATTTGCTATCTGTTACATTAACGATTGAGTTTTCTGAAACAAAGAACTCAATAAAAATATATATCTTAAACGCTTGACTGCTTTGTTATGTTATTCGGTCGACGGTTTATTAATTATTGTAAAAAGTTATAAGATTTAGGAGAAATCTGGCACAATAGATTTATGAAAATTATTTAAGAGATTAGGGAAATTTTTAATAGAAAAGATTCAGGAGAGAGGTATTGATCAGAACTTCGATTCGACGATTCTTGCCGTAATCTTGTTGAAAGTTTTTGAATATCTTTCCGTATCTCCTGTAATGTTTCTTGCAATATTGCAACATGCAAGAGCGCCACATTGCCACTATACGACGAAGTTTTGTGTACTCGAATCACACTTTCTGCAAAATTTCACGCGTTATCTTAATTAAAAATCTAACGGTTATGTGTAAGTATTTTTATTTGCAATCACTGTAAATATGTATGTAGGTACAAAATATATCGAGGTGTTCTCTTCAAGACTATAAGCATAGTCTGTAAGAAGTTTAAAGCAATGATTTCATTATTATTAATTAATCTTGTATAAAATATGAGCGTTCCTTTCTTCCACTTATAGTAGACTATTAATTTTATCCTTATCGAAAGAGAATTAACGTTATAGTTTTCAATCAAAATAGCGAAAAATATTTCAATAGGTCGCTACTTTTTATCCTTTTTATTTCATTATCATTGTATTAAGGATGCATCTCCCGTCAAGTATTATACATATTTTTTAAACAAATCAATTGAAAAATTCAAGGACTCTTTTATATAACAATAATCAATAACATTAAAAAGGGCGAAGTAAAAGTCAAATTACAATTAAAAATCTAAATTTTCTCTGATAACACAGGTCTACAAAATTCACTTTTTTTTTTTTTTTTATGTGAGACTGGTTTTTTACGTATTTTTGTGCTCTGAACATGATTCTGGGGTCCAAAAGTGCCTATCACGTCACGATTTTGAGAAATATGGGGGTCAAAACCGCAAAAATCGTGTTTTTGGGTGTTTTGATCCCTATTTTTCTCAGAAACCAGATGAGCTAGAGACTTCAACCTTTACTGAAATTAAAGCTTGACTTTTATACCACAAGAAACATATATGCCAATAAAAAAAACTATTTTGTATAAAATGGGGTTAAACTTTAAATTAAGTTAAACCTCTACGGCCTAGTTTTCGATCGTAATAACAGGGCCGTAGAGGTTTAACCCCATTTTATACAAAATAATTTATTTTTTTTTAATTTGCATATATGGTTCTTGTAGTGTAAGATTCAAGCTTTAATTTGAGTATAGGTAGAAGTCTCTAGCACATCTGGTTTTTGAGAAAAATAGGGATCAAAACACCCAAAAATACGTTTTTCGCGGTTTTAATCCTCACTTTTCTCAAAATCATGACGTGATGGGCACTTTTGGACCCCACAATCGTTTTCAGCGTACAAAAATACATCGGAAACCAATCTCGTATAAAAAAAAAAGAAACCATGTAGACCTGTGTAATTTATTGTAATGTATTGCGAAGAATATCACGTAATTTCGTCCCGACTTTCACTACTGGACTCATCAGTAAAGTATTGTAGTGGAATTACTGATTATTGTTATATTTTTTAAGTTTAGTACGTTAATAACATCCTTCTTAGATTCAGAAAGGGACACTATCCTCTCCTCCCCTTCCCCCGTTCCGTCATGAGAGAAATGCTAAAGCGTATTCCTTCACAGGAAGGAGGATGCTCATGTAATAAAAAATCGTCTTGTTTAAATAAATTGATATTATAAACAAATGACTGTTTTAGAGAATATTTTTTTACAATTAAAATGAAATAACAATTATGCACGTATTTTTAATATGATTTATGTCATTGAGGAACATTGTCTTCGCAAAATCTTGTCTTCTTGGTTATGAATTCGCCTTATAGGCATTAGAAAAACTGTAAAAATCGTCTATTTTTGAAAAGAAATTGTTGAAAAACAGATATAAATAGATTCAAATGTAAAGAGATATTTAGATAAGAAGATCTAAGTGCGAAACAGTAACAAAAAACAATTTGTGGACGACTCTAACAGGAATAGTACGCCGCATTATGCTGAAAACGGCACGTAAAAAAAACATAATGTAAGCAGCAAGCAAATCAACATTTTTTTATTTGCTGCTGCTTACATTAATGTCCTACACGTCCTCGATCGTGATTGACCGAGTCGCTTACTGCTTCACTGTAACGTTTTTATATGTGCCACTGGTGCTAGATCTATCAACGAGAAAACGACATTACAAAACACGCGAGTCAACTAGAAAGTGTCCTCTTCCGGAGTTTCCCGCACTACTGTGGTGGGTTTCATCTTTTTCCGAAGGGCTCGTCCCCTCAAGTTGAGCATTGTTTTCGCCACTAACCACACCGCGCCCGTCTCGCACGTATAACACAGCGCGTTTATGAAGCCGATGATCAAGGAATGTGGTGGATATCCGGTCGTGCGCGATTCAATGCCGACTGTTCTTAGCGACGCTTTGACGAACGTCTCCGGGGTAGGTGCCATCCATGTCGGTTTCCTACGGAAAAGAAATATGTGAAGCGACGATGACATCAGAAAAATTTAAAATTTTATGATTATTGAAAAATAAAATACACTACTCAACAAAATTAAAGCATATAAATACAAAGATAACGCTTGTTACATTTAAAAAGAACAACAAATGATGGTATTAAAATACGGTATTAAACAAACAACAAAATAAAAGATGACAATATCTATCAAATTATTTTATAAATTTAAAAATGAGAAGCGTTTCGACTTGTACATAAGTCCTTTTCAATATCATTGATATAATATACACAATAATATAATTTTTACTTCTGACTTGATGGACAATAATTTGACTGATTTAACCATATTATTTCGTTTTAATGTTACAATTTATATTATTATGTATATTATATATATCAATGAGATTGAAAAGTACTTATGTAAAAGTCGAAACGTTTCTCATTTTTAAATTTATGGAATAATTTGATAGATATTGTCATCTTTTATTTTGTTGCTTGTTTAATACCGTATTTTAATATCATCATGTTGTTTTTTTTAAATAAAGCATCATCTGTTCCACCCTGCAAAAATAGGCAAATTTCAAGATAAAATAACTTCGTCAAAAACCATCGTATCGAGATGTTTAAAAAAAGTATTTTAAAGTTTGAAATCTTTACTTTTCAGATTGGTACTTCAAAAAACAATCTTACTGATATTTCATGAAGTCACATAAACATAAACGAAGATGCGTCAAAATTTTTTACGAAATTTGAGAAGTTCTACGTAGTAAAATTACCTCTTTTGCTTCAACGTTGAATAACTCGGTGAAAAAAATCGTACAAAGATCGGAAAAAAGTAAATTAAAGGTAAAGATTTTGTCTCTCGAAAACTGTAAACCGCATTTGTACATAATTTTTAGTTCGCGTCGTAGAACTTCTCAAATTTAACTAAAGTGATATTACTGCGGTAGTTGTTTAGAGTTGCGTTGTAAGTCTGAAAAAATTTCGGCACGCGATTGGGGGAACTAAGTACATACGCGGTATATAAAATTCACATATAATTATAATAATAAGCATTGTGATCCAGCTTTGACCGTTATTTGGCTTGTTTCGTGCTTCTTTCTTTATTCTTGTTATTTTGTTTATCAATTATACGGTTGTAAAAAGATTCTAATATTTATTAGTAAGATCGTTTTTTGAAGTACCGGTCTAAAAAGTAAAGATTTCAAGCTTTAAAATGCTTTTTCAAACATCTCGATGATTTTTAACAAAGTTATTCTACCTCGAAGTTTGCCTATTTTTGCAGGGTGGAACAAGTGATGCTTTAGTTTTGTTGAGTAGCGTAGAACTAAGATTATTTCACAGCTTCTCGAGTTTGGAACCGTGCGAGTTCGTTAATCAAGAGATTCTTACTTGATTTTAGACATTTTCGTGGCAACTGGGCCGGGTAGAATGCACTGAACGGTGACGCCTCTCGGCGCAGCTTCCGTCGCCAAATCAGCGCTGAGTTTGTCGATATACGCTTTACTGGCAGCATAAACGGACAGATACGGGCTGGGTATGGTCGCGGCCGTCGAACTCACGTTGATGAGTACTCCTTTCCCTCGCTCCATCATGCCAGGCAGAATCGCTCTCGCGACTCCGGTTACTCCGGCCACGTTCAATTGCAGTATTCTAGCGAGAACTTCCTCCGACACATTCGTAAACATTTCAGGATGGTCATAGCTTGCGCCAGCATTGTTGACAAGAACACCGATCTATTGGAAAACATCTTCTATTATTTTCTTTCACTTTATCCCTATCATTACGAAAAAAATATCTTTTAAATTTTAAGAAGGAAATTTTTTTTTATACACGTTAATAACTAATGTGTTAGCTATAAAAGATTTTTTATTTAATGATTTGTTCATTAAAGCTTAAATTAATTTGTTTCGTTTCTTTTGCATATCTTTTTTTTTTCAAGGAAAAGCGATCTGCTCTTTGTTTATGTAATGCCTCTGTGAAATATTTCTATCAATTTGTTCACAATTTACAATGAATCACATTAAATTTGTTACCTCCAAGTCTTGCGTTGCTTTGCCAATTTCCGCGTAAACTACCTGGCCTTCGGTTAAATCAGCTTCCACGACACGAGTTTCCACGCAATATTTCTGCTCAATCTCAGTAGCTACGTCCTTCAACTTGGACAAAGATCGTGAGACCAAGACAATATCAATACCTTGTTCGGCAAGTGCCTTAGCAAATGCCTTCCCAAGGCCATCTGTCGCACCAGTTACCACCGCCCATTTCCCTTGTGTTCGCAAATTTATTCCAAATCCGAGACTCGGGGCAATTAGTTTCTTCCACGCCAGAATTCCGATTCTTACAAGGATCTTCAAACTGATGAGCGCTATTATCAGCAAAAATATCTTCTCCCACCAGATTAGCGCCATTCTAAAATGTAAGCAATATCATATATATGTGTCATATAGTTGATTCAATCTTTCTAATAAATCAATTATAATATAAGGGCAAAGTAAGAGTCAAAATAAATTAAAATAAAACTAATAACAAATTTACTTGTAAAATAAAACTAAATACATTACGATAAATAAGTAATTTACAAAGTTATTTGACTTAAAACTAATTTAACTTTAGTAACCAGTTTCGACTCTCTAATTGAGTCCTCTTCAGACTTCGATTCATTCTCGTTAATGGATTAATTTATAAGATTATTGCAGAAAAAATACGACATTGGTTATGAAAGATTGATAATTGGTAAGTTAAGAAACTTTCTGTAAAATTAAAATAACAAGATGTATAAAAAATCTTTCTATATAGCGGCAGTAGTAATATTACTATACAACATTTGCAATACATGTTACTGCACAATACTGCTGGAAAGAAAAAGAACAATCTGTGATGGGTGTGTTCCAAAACTCGACTTTGTCAACTTCGAGTATTTTTTTTATCTTTGTTCAACATTTGGTGAACAAGGATAAAATGATACTCATAGGTTGACAGAGTCGAATTTTGGAATGCAACCTTGTGTGGATTATTTATATTATATTTGCTTAATTTAATCGGGGATGAGCAAGCGGATGCAATACGCGAAATCTAACAGTCTGATTTTCAAGGTAAATTATATAAAAAAACATCATTGAATATTAACAAGCTAAATTTGAATTTAACAAACTGTCGCTTGGCGTGATTATTATGGCGATATCGAGTCTGCCAGTCATGCGGGTTCGACTCTTATGACCTCGTGTCATATCAGAGCCGTATCAACCATTACATTAAATTAACTTCATTCGCCATCGTTCGCATTTATATGTTGATTAACCTTGAAAAATGTTGTTTCTATAACGTTCATCTATATATATTATATTACATATTATCTTAAATTAGTTGGAGCCGCATTAATCTTTGATTATTTTTCAGCTTAGATTTCATTATCTTACGTAATATATTTCCTGTCAGGCGATAGAGATAAGATCTTATATAATTGATATATTCCATAATTCTTATTTGTGGAAAAATACATCAATCTCGCATGACCAATTATTGTCCTTCGATAAACGTTTCTTCAAAACGAGTATTTAACACTTCTTTTCCTTTTATTTCTACTTTTTTTTTTAAGTGCACGCTGTTTCACATACGTACTTATCATATATGTATATAGACGCACAAGTGCCTCTGAAATACAGAATGATAAGCATAAAACGTAAAAGGTACAATGGTTTGTTTCCATACGCGCAATGCAAACATTAACATACAATATTTATTCATCGTATTGGCAATTCAATCAGTATTCGTCGATCGTCGAGTCATAGAAAAATCGAAGTTTTGCATGCGGAGCAAAGTCCTACCATTGTCGCATTGTAAATTTCTTAATTTCTTATCATGTGCACTGATAATTTAACATGTAATTTTAGATAACGTGTATTTTAAAAGGAAAAAAAATTTTGCCTCTTATATTCTCTCAAGTTTGTAATAAAGATAATGATCAATTATTCACTTTAAATACTAAAAGCACCCTGAACAACAATACTTTTAATATTTAAAATAAACCGTTGCAATAGATATAATAAAATATAATATAGTAAAAAAAATAGAATTTGCAGAAGTTAAGCCGTTTGGTTTGCTCTGTTCTGAAAATCTTATTGACTTTGATGGTCTACTGATTTGTCTCATATACAAGGACATGAGATTCTTGAATATCACTGAAAATGGAATAGAAACAGTTAATGTCTATTTCAATATAGATTAACCTTGATTTAATTAACTTTTTATCCATTTTCTAATTTTTAGAACTAGAAACAAATAAAGAGTAAGTTAAACAAAATTAATCCATATAGATTAACTTTAATCTCGGTTTAATTTAATCTTTATCGTTTTCTAATTTTAAAACTAAAAAAAGAATGAGTTAAATTAAATCTTGATTTAATTTTAAAATTAATTTACATTGATTAATTTTGGTTTAAATCAAGATTTAATTAACTCATTCTTTTTTTAGTTTTAAAATTAGAAAACGATAAAGATTAAATTAAACCGAGATTAAAGTTAATATGCATTAGTTAATTTTCGTTAAAATTAATCAATTAAAATTAAGTTTAACTTTTTATCTTTTTTAATTTTTAGAATTAAAAGAAAATTAAGTAAGTTAAATCGAGATTAATCTACATTGGTAGAAACGGGCAAAAGCTGATTTTGAGAAATTTTTCAGACGGATAATCGAACGGACATTGAAACTATAAAGTAGGTAAATAGTTTGCACTACTTAATAAGTATATAGTTAATTGTGTTACCATTACCATTGACTTTTAGTATTAATTTTCTAGAAGAGAACCTAATACATTAATTTTTGAATAAAACCCTCCAACTAAAATTTCCGCATTATCACTTTTGTATTATAGCAATTAATTACTATGTATAGTGTCATTAATTGTGATCGGGCAGATCCATGAGATCGCATAGAATTTCGCGATACAGCTTTCTCCGAGTTTCATACTTGAATGCGCGAAGCGATCGTGCCACGATACTTTCTCACTTTCTCACCTGAACTCGACCTCTACCAGCAATTGACTCTTCTTCCGGGTCCCTCGATCATCCGGCGACGAATAAAACGAACTCCGCTCCTTCGCCGAGGATGCGACAGCTGTACCCTCGTCTCGGCAAATGAAACGTCAACAAACGTGCGTCCGACGTTTAAGTGTTCGATAGCGGCGACAATCGCGTTTAATCACACATTTAAAATGTATACAGCAGTAATCACGGAATGAAAGAAACGAAGGACAAGGTCGACGAGCGCGATGCTGGAGCGGATCAGATTGGTTAGAAGTCGAAAATATCAAGGTTACATTCTCCGGAAGAGAACAACGATTACAGTCAGGTTTACTGCCTCGCACCACCTTGATGACTGCCGGCGTTCTACTGTGGCTGCGTTGCGAAAGCGCGATCGATGCTCCGCTCGGAATTAGGAGCTAGGCTATATGCTATCGGCGACGCTTCCGCGCGCGCGCGCGCGCGCGTACGCACGCACGCAATGTCAGGGCTCAAGCCGCACTATCAGGGGCTAAACCAGTATTCCCACCATTCCCACTGACTGCGGATGGGATATCTCGCCATGACGGAAAAAATAGCGGTATCCACGTCCACGTGGTCGAGCAAAAGGTTCGCTGTCTGAGCGAAAACGATATATGGTGGGGCGGCCGATGAGAAAAGATGATGATTCTCTCTTTGACACACTTCGTGCCGCAAAACTCGCGGCCTCCTTCTGTAGACTTCACACGATTTCTTTGATCGTTTTTGCGATATATCGACGGTTGCGATACACTCCCATTTAAAACGGGGTAGGCATGTATTTGATGTAAAATACTTTGATTTAAAACACAGTTTTCGCAATAAAAATAGATTTTATATTTTATATTTCAGCGATATGTACATGAAAGTATTACGTATTTTATTGTATTTAAAATTGAAAGATTGAAAGCTTTATGTACTTCGTAATTTAAATAACAATCTTCAATATCTCAGTATTTAAAATACAAAATACAAAATACTTTCAATCTTTCATTATTAATGCTGTGAAGTACAAAATATAAAATACTTTTATATACTTCCATAGAATATAAAATGCAAAATATTTTCATGTACGCCGTTGAAATACAAAATACACGATACAATTGTCTTACAATTATCGTTTTCAAATAAAAGTATTTTAAATACATGCCTGCAGCTCTGCCCGTTTTTATGAAGGCAAATACTTGGATATTATTTGGAAAAACTGCGGGTTGTTTGAATAATAAGTCTTTTCCGTTTTTTTTTGTGCAATGAAAACATGGTTTTATGTACATACATGTATCTTAAGGAAAACCACACTCGCATTTCTAATGAAAAATAATCGATCAGACGTTTATTGAACATTGAGCTTGAATGCCTGCCTTAAACTCAAATTTGCAATTCTCAGATAATTTTTTGCGATTTTTTCCAAGTTTTTTGTACTACAAGACTCTGCACATTTACATTGTTAATTCTAGGTCTGTTTTTTCAGCTGAACTCTTGCACGTATCGGAAAGAAAAAGAAAAAAGATAATAAATTGCGCAAAAAGTTTAGCTGAAAAAAGAACAGACTTGATGCATGCCTTCGTAATTACATATAATCTAACTTTGGAAAGAAAAAAGGAAAAGAGATGAACTGTGCATAAGAAAGAGATATCTAAGTTCATCTAAAAAAAGCAAACTTTCTGATTATTGCCTTCATTATTCGCAATAGGTACATGATCGCTGTGTACAATATACATATATTAAATAAAATTTGAGTTGCATTAATCTCACATGCAAAAATTTAACTCTCATTTATACCAGATGGTTTGCTGGTTATCGCCGGGTGTATGTGTGTCTCTCTCTTCATTCTTTAATGTCGACGTTTCGCGAACCATGCCGTTTACTTCATCCCCAGGGCGGGGGATGCACTGATACTGTATCCTCGCCCTGATATAATGAAGTGAACGGTATGGTTCACGAAACGTCGGCATTAAGAATGAAGAAAGACACGGCGATAACCCGCAAACCTTCTGGTATAATTGAAAATAATACCCGTAAAAGGCTCAAATGCGTAATTTAACTCATTGTTAATGACAATTTTCCAGACCTTTATTATACACGACGGGTTCCAAGTTCGTATCTCAAGTTAATTTTCATTTAATGTATTTTACAAGTATACCAAAATTATTAATTATGATTTTTACATATAATTTAACGTACTAAAATATAAAGTTGTAAAGTTGTGCATTAAAAAAACAATTGTTCATATAAATATATAATTAATAACAACACAAAAAGGACTGTAAGTCTAATGAATTTGTTAAATTTAATGACGTGTAATAATATAAACAAAGAAACATACATATGTTTCGATTCCGATCGAGTCATTGTCAACGTTAAATAAATTTTTAAAAAATTACATAAAATATCAGTTATTAGAATAAAATATATTAATTGTAAAATTTGTAAAATTCACAAATTTCCACATATTGGAAGACACTGACAAAAATAGAAACATCGCATTATGTGTGAAACATAAAATATAAGTAGTTTATTACGCATTGTGAGATTCCTTATTCGCTCAAACAAAAACCTTCCGTATAATATAAGGATTCTTGATTAATGAGAGTTCTCTCTCTTCTCTTTCACACACACACAAATAATGTGAAAATGTAGTCCATTCTAAATATAACTAGTATAATAAAACGCAGTAAATTTTGTTTATAACAGTAAGAATTGGAGCAAGTATGCAATAAATTGTAGAAAATGTGTTAACTATATCACAATACGTTATAAAAATGCACATGTAATTGTTATAATTTATAATTAATTACTTGGTATGCCTAGTATTTCAAAGACGAGAAATATGTTGGACACGAATAACCCAATCGTGTATAAGAATTAATCGGTGAATAGAGCTTGTGCGTAGATTAGAATTGTGTTAGCGTTACAAATTATCTACATATTACTGATGATCACGCCATTTGTTTTTTACATGCTGCATGATATACTATATTGACTTATACAGCATAGTAATTATCGTTCATTACATTAAGAACTCGTTACGAAATAAATATTCGCAAGAATAAATTAAAATGACGTGTGAATGTTAAGTAAAACTGTATAACGTAATTTAAGATAGTAAAAAAATTTCGTGTTACACTTTTTAAATTTTACTTGCAAAAAATACCTACCATTTCTATATATGCAGTACCATAAAAATTTCAAATAATATGAGATCTTCGTCATCGGACTCTTATGGTTCCAAAATAATAAATTCCTCAAGGGCGAATGAGAGTGCAGCGTTGATCTTGATACGCAATAAATAATAACTCTTATTATTGAATTAAATTGACAAATATCATTTATTCAATAACTGACAAAACTATACGTTTCGACTCATATAGAGTCATTACATCTTCAGTACATATTTCCAAATTAAATAAATTAGAATAATATTTGTGAGGCACATCACATCAAATTGGCAGAAAAGATGTTATATTCTCACAAATCACAGCGAATCTTAATCAATGATTAAAGTTGTATAAGTTAAAATATAATTATAGAATATCATAATTCTCTTGACAGGACATCGTCATGTTCGTTTTATATTATAAGTAGAGAATTATGATATTCTATAATTATATTTTAACTTATACAACTTTAATCATTGATTAAGATTCGCTGTGATTTGTCAGAATATAACATCTTTTCTGCCAATTTGATGTGATGTGCCTCACAAATATTATTCTAATTTATTTAATTTGGAAATATGTACTGAAGATGACTCTATATGAGTCGAAACGTATAGTTTTGTCAGTTATTGAATAAATGATATTTGTCAATTTAATTCAATAATAAGAGTTATTATTTATTGCGTATCAAGATCAACGCTGCACTCTCATTCGCCCTTGAGGAATTTATTATTTTGCAGTACCATAATCAAATAAAAAAGAGCGTAAATGATATGATAATTACTGTCTGTATTACGCATGTACCTGACGACGCAAACGCGTCAAAAAAACAAGATTTATATATATAAATAGTGTTTGATAAGTAATAAAAAATTTTAGGGGTAGAATGGACTAAACTAAAGAGAAAAGTCCTCTACTATTTTACAATTTTCGTAATAGTTAAGGAGGTGCGAGCGTTACTTTTTGGAGTCAAAAATGCAACTGAAAAAATTGTCATTATAGCGATTCGGAATCATGCGCAATATTAGTGTAATAAATTGTGGATATTATATTTATGTGCTGTAGTATTCTTAATAATTAAATTATTAGTGAATAGAATATTAACAAATGTATGTTGTCAACGATTCGAGAAGTCGAGTATACACTTGGCAACGTTGCACTTCGCGATGTGACAAATTATGGTGATCATGACGAATTATAAGTTATAAGGGAGAAATACAGAATCGGTATAAAGGCTGATTTTGTACAAAAAGGAAAATAGAATAGAGAAAGAACGTCATTGCCACTTTTGTCGGCTTCGTATCAGCTGTGCACTGCGGCGTTGCACAAGTCTGTTACTAGTAATACGATCAGTGAGGTAAAAAGATAAACTTTGCGACAATAAAGTTTTAAATCCATACGGTCAAATACGATTGTCCTGTTTTGTACACAATTGTTGATATTTCATCTGTCAAATCCTAGTTTTTCAGAGTCCTAAGTTGGCTAAGTGTGTATAAATCGGTGATCTACTTCGTTATCTACTTCAGAACGACTGTCTCTCATAAGCATAAGACGCTATGGTTAAAATGGTTAAATTCAGAATGACCATTACAAAATAACTATACGGTCAATATTGATCCCTTTTACACCGAGCACTTGATACGCGTATTAACTAATTTTCTATTAAATAATCTTAATTTCAGCAATGTATTTAAAGAATAATGTATTAAATTAGTAAAATATGCATCAAAATAATTGATTAAATACACATATCATGTATATGTTTACACATAATGCTGAAATTAAGATAATTCAATAGAAAGATAGTACTCGTATCAATTGCACGATGTAAACTAGGCAATTGCTCAAATTGTGGGATTATTTATATACAGTGTTTATCTACATCATATTAAAAAATTAAGTCTCTAATTGGATTTCGATTAACGCTCGAACCTCCTTAACGAGATATCAATTTATAAAAATATTCGCCCGACCCACCGCCAAATGCAAGCGCGCAGCTGCATATGACTGCCCAGCGAGGCGCGCTTGCCAATGGCTGTGTTCAGCAAAGAAAGCAGCTTTGCAACTGTTGTAAAATTCTTTAATATGATTGATCTTGCCTCTACTTCCTTATTAGATCTAAATGCAGGGCTGGGTAACATTTAAAATAGTTCCATTTTAAGTACATATTTAAAATGGAAATGACATTTTGCATTTTCCATTTTAAATGATTTTTTTAGGAAACACCATTTCCATTTTACATTTGAAATGGGATCATGTCTATCATTTAATCATTTATAAAATAGGTAAATGGTTTTTTTTATGTATTTATAAATTTTCCCTTAAGAAGAATCAAGTATCGTGGTTGGTGAAAACACAATTTCTTCTATGGCGATGTTGTCTGATACATTTGAAAAACAATTGTTACTCAAATAGTGCGTTTATTAAATAAAATAAAACTGTAAAATGTATTTTCTTTAACAAATATTAAAATCTTTTTAAGACCGTACAATGATAAACAACAACAAGATGAAGGTAGCCAATAACGGTCAAAGCTGGATCACAATGCTTATTATAATTATGTGTATAATACTGCGTATGTAGTCCCTCCATATAAATGTTGTTTATATATATGGTCTTAAAAAGATTTTAATATTTGTTAATACACGTCGAGCCTGAAAAAGACGTTATTCCTATTTTAGATAAATATTGCGAAGAATATTACTACGTCGACCCGCCATCAGAGGTTTGTCGACATTCGTAAAAATTTCTCGCAAATGTTGAGATACGCATATATCTCTTTATATAGAATCTTGATTTAATAACTTATACAGGCGTCTAAGGTAGGTTTCCACTACAATGCCTTACTGATGAGTCCAGTAGTGGAAACCGGGACGAAACGCCAAAATTATGTAATATTCTTCACAATACATAAGAATTACAGAATTTTAAATACAAAAATTTAAAATTATCATTTTCAGATTTATGTCATTTAAAACACTATTAATATGTCATTCAAAACACTATTAAGATCCATGATCATCAAAAATTGCTAATCAATTAAAATTCGTGATATTACTGCGGTAGTATGTATGCGTCAATGCTGAAGAACTATCAGCGTCGCGATTTATATGGGGGGACTACATACACAGTATACAAAATTCACACATAATTATAATAAGCATTGTGATCCAGCTTTGACCGTTATTGGCTTCCTTCTTCTTGATTTTCTTTAATTTTTTATAATTATCCCAATAAATTGTGAATTAAACTGTAATATAAAATAGATATTAATTACAGATCCATAAATATCGATTTTAATTAAAAAAATGGATGTTCCAGCATTATGCAAAGTAATTTCAAACATAAAATACTTAAAAATATGTATACCAAGAAAGACCATTTTGCATTTGAAAACCATTTAAAATTCCCATTTATCCATTTTATATTTAAAATGGATTAAAAGAATCTATTTTATATTTTGTATTTTAAATACACTTTTTAAAAGTATTTTATATTTAGTATTTTAAATGGAATTCGAAAGGCATTTTACCCAGTCCTGTCTAAATGTATAAGCCAATCATATTCAAGAATTTTACAACAGTTACAAAGCTGCTTTTTTGTTGAACGCAACCAGTTGCTAGGCACGCGTATTCAACTGCGCGTTTGCATTTGGCGGTGGGCCGGGCGAATTTGGGGATATTTTTATAAATTAATATCTCATTAACTATTGCGAAAATTGTAAAATAGTAGAGGACTTTTCTTTTCAGTTTAGTCTACCTCTATGTGACAAAACTTTTCATTACTTCTTAAACACCCAGTATATGTAAAAGATATTTAATTAACATGTTTATTAACATAATTGTTAACGTAATTTGTTACTGATTAAGCTGAAATCGGACCGTCATTTACACAGTTAGTACATACAGTGCTTTATGTTTTGCGTGTGTATATGATGTATTGATGTTAATCTACAAAGATATTATTTCAGATATAATTGTATCTTTTATGTCTGTAATTAATAACTAAATAACATTTTATTTTTAATTTTTTGGAAACGTGAAAAGAAAATTTATAACAAATTTATTTCGGTATGCCATACTTAGAGTTTGGTTATAATTACAAAAAAAAATACATGGCCGTCCTTTCAAATTCACTGCAATTGATTTCACACTTACTTAGAAAGGAAGTTATTTAGGTATTTCTATAAAAATGTGTATGGATTTAACATGATTTATTCCGTTCAATATATTGGGTCGGAAGAAAAGTTCTGCGGTATTTTATTAGTTCAAAATTATAGTATAGTGTACATTTAAAAAATTAGTGATTATACTATTCGGAAGAGCAAAGTTTTAGCTTAAAGAATTTGATTTTTTAATTGCGGTACAATGATTTTTAACGGAATTATGAGCAATTAAAATATAAATGTTTCTTTACTTAACTTACAAATATTTCAGGATCAAAATTCGTAGTATTTTAAAAAAATAACTTTTTAGGAAAAACTTTAAGCTCTCTTTCACGTTAGATAGTTAAAAAATTTTACATATTCTTTTTTGTTACATGATAGATTCACAAAGTGAGAAAAATTTTCTTTTTTTTCAGCTTAGTTTTCTATATGTATAAAAATTACCGAATTCACACATGACTTAAAAAATTATAAAAACCTTTTGGAAGTAGAAATTTCAAGCTTTAAAAAAATTTTTTTTAGTTTAAATTTAGTTAATTTTTTACAATAATATTGTACATATAGTTTTAAGCTAACAAAAATCGCAGAATTTTTCATCCAACCTACAAAAGGTATATTGTACATATAAATACATATTCGCATGTTTGTAAGTACAGACTAGAATCTTAAATCATGAAATTACGAATCTTGTAACTAGAGATCTAATATCGATGGACATTAAGTAACATTGGATGAAAAGATACACGATATGAATATGTATTCAATTTTATATATTATACATGAGAATATAATTGAGACAGAAATGCGTCATACATGGTGCAGCCTTCATTTCTCTTTCGCGTTATTCGATCTATTTTTTAGGATGCCGTATAACAAAATTATGTGGCATAAATGCAACGCCGCGCTACTGAACACCGTGCTCGGATACGTATTCCAGCTAAATTCTATCATGCCTAAAATGGTCAATTTAACGATAGTATTGTAATTGGTGCACCACGTGATGTACGGTAACGTATGATAGTACCATATGTAGAATTGATAGTGCAATGATCTGCTAAACATAACACCGATAAAATTTGCAACGAAAAGAGGATAGACGAACAACTGACTTACAGTAGACATATCTACCTTTTCTTTCTTACGAAGTTGAGACTTCAGCTCCTTTCCCATGTGTTTTAACTTCGCATACGATTTAATATACCTGATCCAAATCGGCACACAACACAACAGCGTTATCACATGTAGAAGTAACAGAAAAATGTGGAAATACGAATGTACGAATACTTCTTTTGGTAAGAACCTCCAATTTACAGTCCATTTAAACTCGAAGACTCTACCCAAATTAAAAGCGCCCTTTATATAAGTGATTGGATTCTCTAGCAAGAATGGAAGACCAAGAATCAACTGTATTAATGCGCAGATAGACAAATGTATTAGTGTTTTGAACATTCCTAGGGCGTATAGATAAGCAACAAGAAGCGCTGGAGCAAACAGCAGTACATTCATCTTAATGGACACAGCAAGGCTATATAACGCACTACCCAAGTACCAGCGACTGTCCAAGAATGCGTTGATAGATGCGTATAGCAGTACCATCGCCACTGGATCATTGAAGAGTCTCAAAATGAATATCGAGTGTATTCTATAGGAAGTGCAACACATCAAGATAAGGACGTAAGGTGGCACTTTCTTGGTCCGTGCATAAATTCGAAAAACTAGCATCAGCGTAATCGCGTACAGCGCCGCAAAAATGTACTGTGCTATTCTTATGTTAGCGCCATGAGAAGTTATGTAGTAGAGAGCAGAAAAGATGTAGACAAAGCCGGCAGGGTAAACCAGTGGCCCAGTGTCACCTCGTAGTTTTGAGTAGTCCAACGTGCCGTTTAAGAATCCCTGGACTTCTTGCATGTAGGCCTTCCAATCGATTTCAGTGTACGGTACTGTTTGTATAACTACTGCATTCAAGACGATCTCCAAGACGATAAACAGTTTTGCTGTGAATGACAGTTTTTTTGGATCGGTGAGGAAGGCAAATTGTCGCCATTCCACATAATTATCCAGCCAGCTCTTGTTGCTCCTCCTCGAGGACCTGGCAGCATTGAGGTTAGATCTCGTCTCTCTGCGTGGTGCCATTCTGTCTGCAACGCGCGTTTTCCGTATTATTTGCTCCGTTTTTTTTTTTCAATTATGTTTATAAACAAACTCACATAGAGATTTAATTACCTCGGTCCCTTTTTCGTGACGTCTTCGAGATGCTAACCAGCCTTACGATATCGGTTCATCCGCGTGGCGATGAATAACCAGCTCGTCGGAGCGATAATCCATCACATTTCGTCATCGGTCACCCATGGATTTCGCGAAAAAGATACTTCTCTTTCGTTTTTTACGCGCCGAGTGACAAATCTGTGTTTTTCTCGATATGAATATCCACTGAGGTTTGTTGTAGCGAACATGGCGATCGTAAGATAAATAGAGCCGCTGCTTGCTGCTTCATTTATAGCGCATTTCACTGATTGTACTGGTGCGCACTGAGTGCGCACTAGACGAGAGCAGCGTGTTTCACTGAGCATTTAGGTGCCTTTTCACGAGCTGCTGAAACTGGCTGTTCCAGCGACAAAAAAGGTCACGTGATAAAAATTGACGAATAGTAAGCGTCATATTCGTTTGCTATTCGTCAATTTTTATCATGTGACCTTTTTTGTCGCTGGAACGGCCAGTTTCAGCAGTTCGTGAAAAGGCACCTTTTCGGTGCACATGAAAACGGTGCGCGTTGTTTCACTTGCCTAGTTTACATCGTGCACCACAGAACATACGTGCACTTGATACGTGTATACCCAGGAATGGAAAGTTACTTTTTAAAAGTAACTAGTTACAGTTATTCGTTACCGAGTAAAAAATGTAACTAGTTACAGTTACAGTTATCGCTTTTTAAAAGTAACTCGTTACAGTTACCGTTACTTGAAAAATAACTTTTCGTTACTTTTCCGTTACTTTTTTAAAATCAATTTAAAAATGTACTTT